TTAAAAAGGTTAAACTTCAAAAATCAACACACAGTCCCACCGGGTGTGCCAATTTGTTTACCGTGGTTATTGGTAAACAACCGCTGATCTTCCAAATGGTTACTTATTTGGTTACTCGCAGGATCGATCAGATTGATCCTAAGACATGGTTGATTTTGGGGTTTTGGTTAAGTTGGATGATGGTTAAATGACAAGAAAATAAAGAGGCTTTAAGTAAATTGCATGAAGAAGTGGGCTTGATAAAATAAAGGAAGGCTTGAAATAAAAGGCTTCGACAGGAAAAGTAAAGAAGAAAGCAAGTAAAGTTTCTGGAAAACAAATGACTTTGATTAATAAAAGTGGTGTTTCACACATACATTCTCAACAATTCTTTCTCACACACTGGGTACTCGAATCTATATGAGTGACTTTGTATATAATTGTGAACACACGCAAAAAACTGCGTGAACTACTACTATTTATACTAAAACATCCCAAGTAACCGTCGGGCAGTTACACTGCTTCGAGATGACTCCACTTGGCACGTTCTCAGTGTTCGACGCTCCAGATCTTTGCACGTTGCACTTGGTAACCGCTGGGAACCGTTTTCCCTCCAAACGCTTGAATTTCAAACTGCTCCACTCTGAACAATCGAACACCTTCGTCGAGAAGCATCTTCGACGAGAAACACCTTCGACGAGAAACACCTTCGACATCGAAGGCAACCAAATTCTCCCTTGAAAGAAATCCTCTAAGTATATTGCCATCTTCTGATGGGCATTTCGACAGACCCAGCTGGTCGAAAACATCCTTCAGCTTTAATGGCTGATATTAATAAAAACAAGGGTGTCGAATTTAGGAGCCAACACCCACACTGACAAACATACCAAACGAGCAAATCCCCGCTATAAATTCTTAGCAAAATAAAAAATGTCTTAAACGGGATAGTTTGTTTGCAAACATGTAAAAACACAAGTTAAAATATTCATAACAAACGACCATTGGCCGAAATTTAAATAAAAATGACCACTTAGGCCGATGATATGCGAATATTACATAAACGGGCAATGGCCCAGAAAAATAAATATAATGAATGCGGCACGCAGGCTGAAATAAACATAAAACAATCATCATTCCGCTTCTCCCTCAACAACGGGCGACGGTTGGGCAGGACCCCCGGTCGGTAGGGCGACATTATCCTTGAGATAATCAGGGACTAGAATCTAACTGGCAGCTACGAAATAATTGACCCTCATTCCTGAGGTATTGAGCTCAACACCGGGGTTCAGCGCACGCATCTGCTTCACAGCATTTTCAAAGCTCCCCTCGGAAGCAGACTGAGCGTCATCCACAGCCAACTGAAAACGAGCAACCAGCTCAGCCCGAGGCTTCAAATCCTTAATATCCTTTTACTCGTCTTCAGCAGGCATAACCTCGGCAATCAGGGCGGTCACCTTTCCCTTAAGGTCCTTTTTCTCGAGCAAAAGAACCTTGCGTTCTTCGGAGAGCCTCCCCGATTCTTCCTCAAACTACTTCGGGATTTTATCTTTCTCGACCAAGGCCTTCTCGCTCGTAGCCAGCTTGGTCCGAAGGTTCTTCATCTCTATCTCCTTAGAGGAACTCCCCTTGGTGTAAGCGACCGCCATCTCCAAGATTCGCATCAGACCGCCAGCATCTTGCGCCAGCATCGCCCTGTTTTCCGGACGACCCATTCCCTCGAGATGGAGAGATTCGTCCCGAGGAAGACAGAGAGTCACACCCTCAAAAAAATACTTCTCCAGCTAGCAGGGAGGCAGGTCGTATGTCCCTTTCCCTTTTTCTCCAGTCAAGTCGATGCTCCCCTCGGCTCGCGGCCTTTTCACCTTCGAGGAAACAACAACAGGGGAAAGAGAAATTGTGGTCTGGGCCGGAGATGAGTCGCCCGACCTCGAGGCAGGAGTTGGTCCCGAACCAGTTTGTGCATCCTTTAGGGCCCTCCTCGCTTTGGCAGCAAAAGTCTTATCCAAGCGCTCCTGACATGATTCATGATATTTGCAAAACAAACAAAAAGAAACATAGTCAGTAAACGAGGAGTCAAATAAACGACGACCACTTACTACTATTATATATATATATATATATATATATATATATATATATATATATATATATATATATATATATATATATATATATATATATATATATATATATATATATATATATATATATATATATATATATATATATATATATATATATATATATATATATATATATATATATATATATATATATATATATATATATATACCCAAGTATCTAACGGAGTCCTCGCTTTCGAGGAGCTCCTTGACGTTTATGAGGCCCGACTCATATACGGGCTCCACGTTTTTATCCAACACAGGCATACCTCCCCGACCAACTCGCTGGACCCGAGGGATCCGAGCCACGAACGTGGTCAAGACAACGAAGCTCTCCAGATCCTCTTCTTTGAGCTCCCCCTATCTCCAAACATAGAATCCAAGTTCGCTATCAAAATTCTTCCTCGTCCATTGGAACGGGAACTTATAAACCAGCTTTGCAACGGGCTCTTCTAGCTCATTCAGTCGGGGAGTATCATCCTCGTTTAGAGAAGGCACGGTCTTAAAGACGTTCAACATCGCCTTGGTCGAGGAAGGCTGCACCAAAATATATTTATCTTTGAAATGGCAGACAGACTCCAAATAGACTTTAAATAGCTTCTCGTGGCCTTGCTTCTGGGAAACCCATCCCCACTTTCCGTCGATCTTGCTCCTCTGGAGGTGGAAGCAATAGAAGAACAAGGAAATGGTGGCCCCTATCTACAAATAATCGCAAACTATTTCGAACGCTCGCATAAACGCGATAAGGGAAGGCGAAGAACCATCTCACAAAATACGATATCATACATTGGGATCCTCCTCTTGTCGTGTTTCGAGCAGATTCTTCTCTCCTTTCTAGGGATGTATAACGATCATTCCTCATGGACCCCCTCCTCGTGAGTGTATACGTCCGTAAAGACATCCTCTCAGTGCTCATAAAAATATGACGGTCAGTCCCATGGGTCATTCGCGACCCAATCCCAAGGTTCATTCGCGACCCAATCCCAAGGTTCCTCCTCGTTCCCAGGAGGAAACAAACAACCCTAGTCGGTGGAAGTTATCTCTATGTCGCCCCCTTCCGTTCACCGTTTCATTTGATTCTGCGCATCCCCGAATATTTCCAAGATGCTCGACGAACTACTCGTCTCGTCTAAGGAACTTCCCGATGACTATGTGGATTCGCTCAAAATATCGACCCGGGCATCATCAGCCATAGCACATGAAAAGAAAAGGAAAAAGATGAGTTCGGCATCAATGCCAGAACCACCCTTTCACCACTAAACAAGCGAAAGGACGTTGGGAAATGAGGATCGCATCCCTGACCAGAACCCTCACTGAGGCGTATCAACGGGAAAGAATTGTAGAAAAATCCTTAAGCCCTAATGAGAAGTCTACGACACACCACGAGGTCCCTGAGGAGACCCCACGACGACTCCAACGATTCTAAACTACAGAAACATTGTCTACCGCCAACCCTCTCCAACGGCATCCTCACAAACAGAACCCTAAATCCTAACCGCATACATCTCTAGAAAGTAAAAAGCGAAAATATGAACTACTGAGAGCGAACAACAATGAATGATTAGAAACTTACCAGTTAATATTAGAAGAAAGGATAGAAGTAAGCAGCTGCGAGCAAAAAAGTTTAAACGAATAACGATGGCCGACAGTCGAACTAATACGAGCAGTTGAGAGAGAAGACAAAAAATACTAAACCTCTTGTTCCTCTCGTATTTATAGCTGAAACAATCCACGCGTACAAGACACGCGCCTGAGGAACCCTAGGGTCGTCATCATTACACCCTAGTCCTAGGTCATAATTGTGCCGCTTCGCTAGCGCGCTTCCCAAAACACGCTACCTCTCCAAATTTAAAGGTCCTAACGACTAACTCTTCATCTCCCCGCGATAAAGGCGCAATGGGCAACGCCCATTTACCCGTAAGATGCGCCCGTTCCTCGAACAGGTGTTAAAGTCATCACTCATGTATCCAGAAACAACGACTTGGGAGGCTACTGTTCTAGACTGGCCCGACAGCTTGAACGGGCCCAGATAGACCTTTCCTTTGGTACAACCCGCACGCTCGTAACCTGAACCTCCTGCTATCAGTCGAGAAATATCAATCATTTGGCCTCCCAAGCCAGCATTGTCCTAGGATGACGAACGAACATCCTCTCATCCTGCCTGACATTAACGTCGTGCAGGCTACCAGGAACCGACTAGAGAGATGCCCGTAACTGGCCTCCTCCTCAAGATCAATGGCTAGTTACAGACACATCTACCTGGTTTGACCAAGTTTTGGCAATTACCTTATTTCACAGACCCACATATTCATGCGCGAAATCAGAAACCAATAGTCACGCGCTAGGGGCATTATATATACCCTCACACCTATCAGGGACAGGTATCGAATATTCACTATTCACCACCTAATACGTTTCTTGTATCTCCTTGTTCCCACTCTTACTTGATCGTCAGAGTGCCTTGCAGGTACAACCCCTTTTTTCTCCTCAACATCACAACCCGACTACAGATCATCTTCTGACCACTTCTGAGGTTCTTATCAACCTGTAAGATCGTGTATTATTTAAAAAAATAATAACATAAAATACACCAAAAAACACAATATTGGAGAATACATTGATGAATATAATATTTTTTAAAATATCATAAATCGATCAACCAAACCAAATCAAATTGAATCAAACCGGTTAGTTTGATTCGGTTCTATTTTTGAAAAATCTTAAAAACCGAATCAAATCAAACCGATGAAGATATCACCGATTTGGATCTTTTTTTGACCAAAAAATGGTCCAGGTCGGTCTGATTACACCCATACCCCTCTTGATTGGTGGTTTGAGGTATCTTCTTTAGTGAGTACAAATGGATCTTCATGGTGTCTTCCCGGCCCCCTTGACGTTTTATGTTTTTACAGTCATGAGTCTTTCACTCTTTCTGGTATGCACCACAAAAGTTGGGACTTTTTTCTTCCTTAGAGCCATAGACTTGACATAAATTATCAATTAACATTCATGATCAATATTAAATGACAGAAAAAGCAAATCATGTTAGCATGTATGTTCAAACTTAAAGGATCACTACAAGTTACCTTGACATTTCCTAGAGGTTTGAATACTTTGGAGGTCTTGACTTTTGGTGCAGTTCCAAAAAGGGTTCTTACACCAGATGTCTTTGAAGGGCCTTGGTTTACAGCAGGTTGTTGTTTGATAGGGCTTAAGTCAACGGTAAATGGTGGTATGCCAAGAACATTATTCTCTTTATTTTTTATATCATTGAGAATTGCAAAGTATATTTGAATCTATGTCATTAAGGTATCCTCATCCATCTGGACTTGGTGTCTCATTGACTGGAGAGGATCCCTCATCTTGCATTGCAGCCTGACTTAGTGCCTCATCTTGCATTGATGCCTGACTTGGTGCCTCATCTTGCATTTCAGACTGACTTGGTGCCTCATTTTGTACCGATGACTGAGCATTTTAAATTGATGCCTGACTTGGTGCCTTAGTTGATCTCTTACTTGAAGCCCTTTTGCTTTTCTTATTCAGTGACCCCTTAGATCTCCCCTTAAAAGAATTACACAGATACTAATAAAATACAAATGCTCGTCATATGATTTTACAAATATTAATCAAAAGCATTAGACTAACCTTTTTTTATGTTGCCTTTTGAACATTTTCAGCCTGACTTGCCTGTGTAAGTAGTTCATTTGTTGTGATATTTTTGTTCTTGTGTAGACAATCTGTTTTTTCTTCTTACATGTCCTAGTGTTATGACCATACTCTAAATATGTCTTGCACCTATTAGTAGTATTAGTTATTTGCCACTTTGTTGCATTTGATTCATCAAGTTCCATTCTTCTAAGTTTTTTTGCCTCCCTGGGCGACTATTGAACATAGGAGGGAAAATGACAGGATTATTGGTTTTTGGGCTACTTATTTTGACATTTTGTTGATTAGATATGAAACACCATCTTCCTTCACAAATGTCTTCAAGAAGTAGCTGCATAAACCAACTTCAAGTGTTCTTTGATTCAGTTTCTACCACTCTAAATGCAATAGGCAAATACTGATCATTAGAATCTTTTCCCACAATTATTAATAAAATTTCACCATACTTGTGTTTTATATGACATCCATCCATTTCAATAAATGGCCTACAAGCCAATTCCATAGGTTTCTTTATTTCATTAAAACACATATAACACCTTTCAAACTTTGGTAGCAAATCTGAACCTGAAGTTTGAATGTTCAACTTGAAAGTATTTTCTAGTGAAGCCCTCCTCTGTTCAGCCCATATCTCCATGATCCTTTTGGCAATCTGTCTTGCCTTAAATGCCCTACAATTTCAGTAGCATGCCTCACTCTAACATCACCAATTACATCATTTAACTTCATTTTGTTATTTTTCTTCAATCTATCAACAATGACTTTTACAACCCAATCAGCTTTGGCACTTGTTAAAAAATTGTCTTCCACACTTGTGTTTAACATATCATATTCTAATTCTAAATGTTGTTGATGTTAAGACTACACAACACAGTACAATTACATTGTGATTTTTCCTTGCAAACAACCCTATATCTCACTGTATCATTTTTCTCAAATCACACATCCCTCTCATTCAATACATTGTGTTTCAAATTCTCTTGAACTGCTTCAATGATGAAAATTTCATTCCCACCTTGAACTTAAAATCTTTTATTATTCCATGTTCCTCATTGAACCTAATAGGATTTGACCTATCATCACCATTGTTATCTTCAATACCACTATCAAGTTCATCAGTCATATACTCATTTTTAATTACATGCTCCTTACTCATCTCTGGTGTGTTATAAAACTATGTTTCATTGCCTCACTAGAGCCTACACCATCTGCGAGAGCTAAGTTTATGGCATGAGCACCAATACCTTCATCAAAACATTCATCAAAATCATTCATCCTTTCTTCTTCACTACTTTCAAACTTGATATCCTTCACAGACTCATCACTAGAACTCTCATCAGTACATAATTCAACATCATCTTCGCCTTTTATCCCCTTGCTCCTCTTTCTTTCATTCTCTGAAAATGTTGCATCCCTTTAGAAGGTTTGGGCTCAGTGTATATTTCAACATCACCTTTGTAGTTTGGAACAAAGACAGATAACTCAAATGCATCACCATCATCCCTAAATAGTTTTAGATTAGATTCTAAACTACCATCACCCTGTTTCCACCACATCTTAACATTTTTGTATTCAAATTCGGGATCCATTCCCTTGATTAAATCACACGCCTCAAAAAAAGGACCAACAATCGAAATCTTGACCATTAAAAGCAAAAACTTCCCCCACCCTCATGTACTCTAGCTTTGGGTCTTTAACAAAACAACACTTCGTGTAAAATACTACCTTAAACACACTCGTTCCTACACAATAGAGGAAAAAGAACAGTCAACAACGAACCCACATAAAACACTTATATACACCATATTCACTTAATACACTGCAAGTGTACAAATTTTAGACCAAACTTCAATAAAATAGAATTTAAGGTTAAACATGTGAATCTACCTCAGATTCAATTTTGAGAGACCACAAACATGCACCTTTCAAAATGATTTTGAAACCACAAAGCAAACACGATAATGTATGAAAACAAGTATCTGCAACCAAAAAGAAAAATACACAATATGTTACAATTCGATGAAGAAGAAAGGAAAGGCGTGTGAAACAAGCACGAACCTTCTACTCAGATTTGGAGTTGAAAGCGAACCTTCTACTCAGGCTTGGAGTTGAAAGCGATGGACTTGGTAACGGTTTTCTCCAAGAACAAAAATCCCTTTCATATGCTAAATGATTTCCTTGTTTTACTCTAAGTGCATATATCATTCTTCTAAATTGCCCTATTGAGATAAATAACGTGACAGATAATTACTCAATATTACCTTTTATCAAAAGAAAAGAAAAAAAAGCCAAAAGAGTCAAATCAGCATCCACGTAAAATTCCATCAAGTGAAATAAAAGACAGACGAAAAATAGAGACGAAAAAATTTGAGAACAATTTGAGAAAAAATATCCTTGAAATTAAAACTAGATTTTAAAATATTTATAAGAACCATAAATATATTAAACCCTTATCAATTATTAATATACTTCCTCATTTCATTATTTTTTATAAAATCCACCTCAATTCATTAAAAAAAAACAAAATTACATCAAAAAATAAAAATAAATGTTAAAATCAATACTTTCTTTTTATTCCTTCTAAGAGGCACCTTGGATGTCAACTTGAGTCTAATATTGAGAAATGTCTATGATACACAAACAAATGGTGTAGTAGTGTAGGCGCACTACTTTGTATGTTACGGTTAGATCTCTTAACCTTGTCAAAATATATTGCGATATCCATCAACATGAAATTGACGCCATTCACAGCCCATCGTATCACTCTTTTCACATTCAATTGCAACCTCAATATTATTCTTTGTTAAAATATGCAGTTTATTTTCGAAATCTTGTTCCTTAGCTACCATAACCTTTATATGGTTCAGAAAATAGAAGTGAAAAACAGAGACAAGCAGCTATATTTTATGGGTGGCATTCTGCCTCCAGCATTGTTCAAGACAAACAGAAGGAGATAAATGGTTGTGGACCTGTTCAAGACAAACAGAAGGAGATAAATGGTTACGGACCGTGGATGAAGATTATACAGAATTGATACGAACATTCCCTTCATTTCAAATTATAAGACATTTTGAACATTTCACACATATTAAGAAATGTCATCTTTGTTTAATGAGAAAAGGAAATTATGTATATACCCTCACCTGCTCCTCTCACATGTGAAATGTCATCTTTGTTTAATGGGAAAAGGAAATTATGTATATACCCTCACCTGCTCCTCTCACATGTTTCTTTTTTTGACCGCATGTGATAGATTGAAATGAAAGGTTGTAATTTAACAGGGAATTAATATTTTTTCAGAAAGAAAAATGAACGTTTAAACTTTACATCAGATGTGTCCCTGATTTAGGTTACATCAGATGTGTCCCTGATTTAGGGATTTTTTTTTTGAAATGTCACCGAATTATTTTTATTCTTGCATTAAATTGTTCCTGGTAGCTATTTCTTCAGAGCTAGTCTTATATAGGCACAAAATATATGGGCACAATGTTAAACACACTCACATGAAACAAAAAATAAAAAATTGGAAAAACATTAAATAGTATATATTTTCAAAATAACTAATTGATGTATATTTTTATGAATGTGTGCTTAGGGTTTGTGACCAAGTAAGTATTGCTAATTTCTTCAAACCTTTACACTAATTATACTTTTTAATCTTTTAACCGTAACTACATTGTAGACAACGAGATTTTACCTTTCTATCATGGTTTTAGTTGTGAAATTGGCTGCATTTTATATTTTTTCGAAACTGAAATTTAATATTGATTTGATTGTTGTTAAAGACATGGGATGGTCCAATATTTAATATTTATCCCTTTACTTCTCAAGTTTTTGCCCAAGCTTGAGCCAGGTCCCGTCCTATAAATATTCAAGTTTAAAAAACATCTTATCTATTTTATTTTCCTCGAGAAAAACAAGATGGCCTATTCAGAACAGAACATATAATTCCATATCTACAAGTCTCAACATAATACTGAATGAAAGATATAATAAATAAATAATGAACTAAATACAAACAAGAGGTGCACCACAAGGGATTGACTAGTTTCCACAACTTACAATGTCTAGTTGAAGTTGGTCAAAACAGTCCCCAAAACAAGCCCACCACAACTGAAGGAAAAGTCATGGATTGAGTGACAGTGAAACTTCAAGCATATTAGGGAGCATTGCATTGCTTGCCAAAAAACCCTTCAAAAATTTCTTTTTGAAACCTTTCTTCATACCAACCAACCCGCTTCCTTGTAATCCAATTTTCAAGCACTAGTTAATTTAACAATTTTTCTAGCAAATAATATCATCATATTTCAGAGCAAACTTTAAAAATTCAGAAACTAACATCATGACCTGTTGACCAAGATGAAAATGGAGTTTCCATTCACAACTACTCCCGACACATCCAACAGCTATCAAGAATTTGAGCATCAAAGTACCCAAAGTTTTAAGGAGCATTTCCTGGTGGCAGAAAGTACTTGCAACACAGAAAGTAAACCACAAAACTTGGAAGCCCCAAATTAGAAGGCTTAAGAAAAGAAAATTGGAAACAAATGCCATGGAATAGAATAGGAACCATACCATATCAAAAACTCGTTTATTTACTTCAGTCTTGAAATATATGTACAAATTTAACCCCGCATAAAGGGTACACTACATGGATATCAATATTAAAAAATCAGGTTCCATACCTTCTCATCTCATTGTACATCATACATGCCGCTTCCAATTTTATAACATACAAACCTAATGAAGTCAATTGCTGTGTGCTTGGCAATCACATCATTCTTAGTATAAGATCATTAGTGTTGAAAGAGAAGTTGGAAAAGTGTGGGTTAACATAAACATTGCTCTGGGATTTTCATGAATCCAGCTCTAGCATAAGTACCTGTCTTAGCTGTGCTAGCACTACCAAGAAAAAATAGGCTTGTAATCGGTTCTGGGAAGTGGACCTTCATTGAAACCAATCATGTTGCAGAGCAGCTTCAGCAGATATCCTCTGCAAGAAAATTAACAGTTTCTGTTAAGTTGCGTAATTTATAATCAAGTATCAAAAAGCCAGTAAGACGTCATTACATAAAATACATACCTTGTCAGGGTCATAAGCTAGAAGCTTACTCAACAAGTCAAATCCTGACTCAGATAAAACTGGCAAACCAGTGAAAGACGCAGCTGGAAACTTCATCCTTAGCATACTACACCTGCAATATCAATAGCTTCACGTCAAAGGTTGAAACAGCATAGTATTATCATTCATAAAATAGAGCATCTCAATAAATATGATAATATAAAAGGCAAGCTTACCGTTGCTTGACAAAATTTGCTTTAGACCCAGGCAATTTGGAAAATCCTGGCCATATTTTCTCATCTGGTGTACCAAGGGTTCGAAAAATCTGCAGACAGATCACAAACAAACAAATGTTACTAGGTTGGCAAAGTTGTCACGCTATATAACCTTGAAGTGAATATAACGTGATATCAAATTGACTTTAACTAACCTTATCAAGTTGTTCGATTTCAGTTTTACCCCTGAAAAGAGGCTCCCTGGAAAATAGTTCAGCCATTATACAGCCCAATGACCACATATCAATTGCTTTGGAGTATTTTTTAGCGCCCAACAAAAGTTCGGGTGCTCTGCACATAATAACAACAAACCATATCAATATACATGAAACAGCATAAATCAGAACATAAATAACTTAAATGATGACATTGTACCTATACTCACCTGTACCATAATGTAACCACAAGAGAAGTATATGGCTTAAGTGGGCTTCCGTACTGCCTTGACATTCCAAAGTCACATATTTTCAAATGCCCTTCTTTATTCATCAGGATGTTAGATGTCTTCAAATCTCTATGGAGAATCCAGTTATCATGGAGATACTTGACACCTCCCAGAAGTTGCTTCATGAAGGATTTTATTTCACCCAAACTAAAAGGATGATTCTTTGCCTCCATCAACTGTTTGAGGTCATACTGCATATGCTCCATTACCATATAAGTACCATCATCCCTATCATCATCATCCACCACTACTTCTTTAACATCAACAATAGAGGGATGATCTAAAGATAAGAGAATATTCATTTCTCTCAAGGCTGACAATGGAAAGCCCTCTCTTTCCTTCTCCATCTTCACCTTCTTTAGTGCTACAATTTCTCCAGTCCTCTTATCCTTAGCTTTATAAACAACACCATAAGTTCCTTCATTTATTTTCTTAATCATTTCAAACTCAGACACAGTTCGGCAACTCTGACACATGTTAAAACTTCTCTGCACATGCATCATATCACTATTTTCAAACGAATCCGATGGAGAATCACTAACCTCATCATCAAAATCAGATCTAGTGATTGTGCTACTTGAAGAACCACCAACTTCTAAACTTGAACTTCTTTTGCCTTGCTTGTATTTATCATCGTCACCCATAGGCGAAAGATCATGGGAAGCCCACTTAGACTTCGTAATGTTCCACCCCTGCATATCACTTTCATCAACAACACAAGAGGACTCACTCAAAACACCTTTGCCTTCAGGACTATGTTCATCAACAGGTGATCTAGCTAGAGACTCAGCAACACGTGTGACCCCATCTTTGGAAGAGATTTTTGCTTGCTTCTCTGCCGGATCCCAAACGATAGGAGAGAATTTCCTTCTCTTCTCTGGCGGTGGCAAAGCCTCATCACCATCAACAAGGATCTCACCTTCTTCTCTATCATCTTTAGCAGAAGAATCAAACTTATAATCCTCAAATTCCTTGACGGAATCATGTTTGTAAGACTCCCTCCTCCCCAAAACACTTTGTCGCCCTGCCGCCATGGGATTGACAAGCACAAAAGAATTGAGGAAAATATTAATTTGAAACCCTAAAACCTAAAATCCCCAAATACTCAAACCCTAATTTCAAGAATTTGAAATCAACAAAATTCCTAAAACCACAATCAACAATCGGACACAAAAACAAAACTAGAATCAATTAAAACCTTGTTTATGATTTTTTCTTCTTACTGAATACAAAGAACAACGAACAGTTTCAATTTGGAAAACAAAACAATCAAAAACAATCGATAATGAATGAGAGGAGAAACAAAACCCTAGACGGTGGCTGCGTCTCGACTGCTATCAGAGGCTTCGAATTGCCTTACCGGCGATGAAGAGAACGAAGGAGATGAGATAGCCGCCTCAAAAGTCTTCAACGCGTTTTTGTTTTTTATTTTGTGATTGTTGTGGTTAGGGTTTCGGGCTATTATATAGAAACGGGTTTTCCTAGTGGGCTTTATTAAACACGATCTTAGCAATTATTGGATGGATATTTTAACACATAATATTAAATGTTAAATTAAATTTTAGTGTATGAAAAAGACAACCACGTTTACCGACTTGATTAATTCAAAATTAATATAGTATCTATGTGTTTGTATGGATATTGGTCTAAAATTCGTATTTATTATATGAAATAGTTTGTATGGATATTAGTGTCTTCAAAAAGAATTTTCATAAACTACGGTCTATGCTTATATATTATCTATCAGTCTTATACACATTAACTTACCATGACCGCCAACCATGAGTTGCATTGTCACGCTCCACCCATACAAAGATCTCGTCCACAGGAGGATAACGGATGCAGAAGTGCATATGTATATTAAAATTAGATAACTATATTAATAAGTGTATTAATGTATGCAGTATTTCACATGAGTGGCAATACATTATTGCATATGTATATATAATAAAAATTGGATAATGATGTTGTGTTATTCAATTTGACTTGCATCTTTAGAAAAAACAGATTTGATAGTACCTACATATATTATTTTATTAATTTTGTTGTTCGGTCAAACGATATGGCATATGTGATTAACATCATAGGAGATTGTCAATGGAGTTATTGTAATTTGAGGTGTATGCATATTGATTGGTATATGGAGGTGTATACCACTTTTTTCATTGAATAAAAATATATTTCATCACAATGATACGTTGAATCACAAATCACATGTTATTGTCACATGTAACCACAGGTTCGTGACATTAGCTGTAATAAAATTTCATATTCTATCAACATCAAAGACAGGTGACAAATGTGATTGAATTTAAATGTATACCGTTTACGATGGATTTATTGCCCTATCAATATTAGTCATGTTTAAATGTCATATGAGATTCAGCTCAGAACATTGTAGTTGTAGATGATATATAAAACGCAGTCAAAGATACCAACGCTAAAAAAGAAACATAATCTAACTTGTTTGTTTTTCATATACAACAACATATAACGATGTGATAATTATAGCACAGGTCCATGACATTATTTGCAATGAGATGACCTAATGTACTTGCAACTGCGACAAATCATAAATGGCGTCCATACAATTTACATGAATATTAGAGTAACATAATTATCCTAAATTATATCGTACGACTCCAAATAGTGTAAGGATTTTCCAACAAATGCAAATCTCCACAAGCGTCTTGGATGAGAACCGTCCTGATTTAGCAGGGAAAACCTACAACAGAATTTGAGTTTAGTTACTTTCCAGCAATGCAGATGTTGGAAGTGTTGTGCAAATGCTGCTAATTTCCTAAAGCCTTTTTGAAGAGGATTCTCTACATATGTTGGCACAAAGCCATGTCTGAAACTGACTTTACTGTTATGCAGGAGTGTGTAGATTCAAAATAATGGATTAACACCTGCTGCTCCATAGGAGTGATAATAGAATAATAAATTCCTAATATTTTAACGTGAAATTATGTAAACATGATCATTCAAAAGATACACACAGATGCAGGAAATTGTGTGTTAACATTAAGTTAGCATAACTTAGTGGAACACAAGTCTAATTTTACAATTCCAAATCAAAAAGGCAAACAAATATAAAAGGAAAGAGCGATAATTATCAACACAAAGTCAATCTAAAACCAACAAAGACACATAACAAAATACATCCACGGCTAATCACTTTTCTCCAGCTTAGTTGTCTTCTTAAGCTTGTTAGAAGAGAGTTCTCCATCACATAAGCCTTATGAGGTTGTTGATTCACTTGAACCCCCTGGAAACTCTCTCTTACCAACCGGCGTCATTGGATACAGGTTATGATTAGAGGTGATCTTGAAATCCTGTTACACAATGAATGAGACAAAAGGTTTTATTTTACACTAGTATCCGTACAAACTATTTCATACAACAGATTAATTAACTACGATTTATGCCTACACACTATTTATCAGCCACATACACATTAGCCTACCATGACCGTCAACCATGAGTTGCATTGCCACACTCCACCGATACAAAGATCTCGTCCACATGAGGGTAACGGATGCAGAAGTGCATATGTATATTAAAATTTGATAACTATATTAATAAGTGTATTAATGTGTGCAATATTTCACATGAGTGGCAATACATTACTGAATATGCATATATAATAAAAATTGGATAATGATGTTGTGTTATTCAACCTGACTTACATCTTTAGAAAAAACAGATTTGATAGTACCTACATATACCATTTTATTAATTTTTTGGTTCGATCAAAGGAGATGGCATATGTGATTAACATCATAGGAGATGGTCAATGGAGTTATTGTAATTGGAGGTGTATGCAGATTGATTGGTATATGGAGGTGTATACCACTTTTTTCATTGAATAAAAATATATTCCATCACAATGATACATTGAATCACAAATCACATGTTATTGTCACATGTAACCACAGGTTCATGACATTAGCTGTAATAAGATTTTCTATTCTATAAACAGCAAAGACAAATGACAAATGTGATTAAATTTAAATGTATATTGTTTACGATGGATTTATTGCCCTATCAATATTAGTCATGTTTAAATATCATATGAGATTCAGCTCAGAACATTGCAGTTGCAGATGATATATAAAACTCAGTCAAAGATACCAACGCCAAAAAAGAAACATAATCTAACTTATTTGTTTTTCATATACAACAACATGTAACGCTGTGATAATTATAGCACAGGTCCATGACATTATTTGCAATGAGATGGCCTAATGTACTTACAACTACGACAAATCACAAATGTCGTCCATGCAATTTACATGAATATTAGAGTAACATAATTATCCTAAATTATACCGTACAACTCCAAATAGTGTAAGGGTTTTCCAACAAATGCAAATCTCCACAAGCGTCTTGGATGAGAACCATTCTGATTTTGCAGGGAAAACCTATAATAGGATTTGAGTTTAGTTACTTGCCAGCAATGCAGATGTTGGAAGTGTTGTGCAAATGCTGGTAATTTCCTGAAGCCTTTTTGAAGAGGGTTCTCTGCATATGTTGGCACAAAGCCATGTCTGAAACTGACTTTACTGTTATGCAGGAGCATGTAGATTCAAAATAATGGATTAACACCTGTTGCTCCATAGGAGTGATAATAGAGTAATAAATTCCTAATATTTTAACATGAAATTATGTAAACATGATCATTCAAAAGATACACACAGATGCAGGAAATTGTGTGTTAACATTAAGTTAACATAACTTAATGAAACACAAGTCTAATTTTACAATTCCAAATCGAAAAGGCAAACAAATATAAAAAGGAAAGAGCGATAATTGTCAACACAAAGTCAAACTAGAACCAACAAAGACACATAACAAAATACATCCACGACTAATCACTCTTCTCCATCTTGATTGTCTTCTTAAGCTTTTAGAAGAGAGCTCTCCATCACAGAAGCCTTATGAGGTTGTTGATTCACTTGAACCCCCTGGAAACTCTCTCTTACCAATAGGCGTCATTGGATCCGGATTTTGATTAGAGGTGATCTCGAGATCCTGTTACACAATGAATGAGATAAAGGGTTTTATTTTATACCATTCAGACAATATAAACTTATGCAGAAAGTGGGAGGGAGTCATAGATTTTTGTTTCCTTTACACATTCTTCAGGCGCACCCGACTTGGCCTCATCCATACTCTCTTTAATCTAAGCATCATATAACAATAATCATTATATGTAATATAACCATATAACAACAACTATAATAAAACAAATGAACAACCAAAAACTGCAATAGGGTAAATACCTGCAGAGGACCAGATGTTATGGAGGGGACCATAACAACTTCCTTTTTATGGTAAACAAAGTATCGTCAGAAAAAACATGTAATACCCAAATAAATAAACAAATTAAAATATCAAAACCTTGTTAAGAAGATTATACATCGTCTATGTCCTAAGGATCCTCACGATAGAGCAATTGTTCCAACGCGGCTGCCACTTTACCTTAAATGCCATCTCTAAGTTCAGCAGTTGATCAAGTGCCAATGGGAATTCCAATGGATCATCAATTCCAGCCTATATAACAAACCTCAACAATGAGTACTAATACATTACAAAAATGAATATACTAAGGGGTGGGGAATAAGATACAAAACCTTGATCATAATATGACGTAGTTGGGCAACAAATAAGCCCAGAAGAATCTCACATTCTATATTCCAAAACATAAAGTTACAATTGTTGCCCTCGTGGAAAACTTGGATCTCTATCTTGTACCTACAATGTCATGATTAACGGATATAAGAAATATGATAACATAAATACATAAAAATAGCTTTCACGGACACTACATATATTAAAGGACAAGTAATAAGACCTAAAGATTTCAGCCTCAGTTGAATGACCAGCATCACAGTCAAATGGAGCAGTGTCACCACGTGCAATGCAAGGACAAAAACGGCAGGCACGATAATACCACCCAAATGGAGATGCCACCAGAATCCTTGTTTTAGCAACAGTGGCGCAAAATGTGATCTGCATCAAAAGTTCATGA